TTTCACCCCTGATCCTAGCTCTCAGGTAGAGGCCGCAGACAATAAAGGGATAAGAAGACCTCTCATTTATGGATTCTAATACACATATTTGTCCTACATACCACGACCTTTAATCCTGATTGGCACGCTGAAAGGGGATGAACACACGGCACACAAACACACTCCTTTATCATTCAAAGTGCACCAGAGCTATCAACCTGAATAAATAAATCCCCCCCTTTTCTCGCAAAGCAAAACTGGATAAGCGCTCCCACCAGGTCTGCATGGAGGAAGCTGTCAGCACCTCTATTTTGGTTTGCTTGAGCCTCATACAGAGAGAGAATCCTGTTTTTCTCTCAAATCCATCGTCCTGGTTTTCAATCCCCGGAGAGGCGTTTCCCTCCATGTGCGTGAGACCTGTGCTCCCGCCACACAGTCCATAGCCTACATGATCCCTCTTTCCTGCTTATCTTTCGGAGCAGGGCCTATATCTTTCAGCAGCCGATAAATCCGCAGAAAAAGTCCAGGTTAGGAGGAAAGAAAATTGTTGTCAGCCTTTAAACCTGTTTGCTAGATATATTTTCCATTACTCGTTTCCACACTATTGCCTTATATCACACCCATGTGTTTTGACACCTGTAGCTGCTCTGAACACAGGGTAGGCCTACTGGTTTTATCTCTGGCCCGGATATATAAATACAGTAACAGGATTATGATTATTATTATAAATAATGAAAAATAATACATTTATGCAGACCATGCCACATTTCTAATGTCCTACCTTTGTTGGTTAATAACTGCTATTCAACTGACATGATTTCTAGACCACTTTGTCAGAAATAATCACTGTTAGTCTTTGATGGTGCGCCTCAGAAAGTCTCTAATCTACAGGTTTTTCTATTTATCAAAGAACAAAGAACCAGAAAAGCTCGTAAAAAGGGAGGCAGAACAGTGTGTTTCTAGCAGAGCAACATTGCCACCTGCAGCCAGCAGAAGTCATCAAAGGGACAGACACATGGATTATCAGACATGCTCAATCAAACACAGATCAAGTCTTTTAATGGATGCAGAGATTTCTGAAACCTTGCTCAGAATGAATTTGCTACTTCTACTTCATCAAAGTATTTTATTTATTCTACCACTGTGTTTAAATAAAATAAATTATAATAGCATCTAGAAGCTCAAATGAAAAATCATCCTTGCTTAGATGCAAACATAACATAAATATATATTCTTTAATGTTTATTCTTTTGGAAGATATTTATTTTTCCCAGCATATTTTAACCTCCAAGCATGATACAAAGAAAGGCTTCATGCAGGAAGTATGTTCAAATAAATTATCTTTTTTCCCCACTGTCACTGTCCATGCACATCTAATACATTTATCATTTTAGATATCAAGAAATAAAAAACCCATCCAATTGTTTACCACATACATGTGTCAGTTAATAGGATTTTACACAATTATGCTGAGGGATAGGAGTGTTTCTCTTTACTTTGCTGCACTCCTGTGGCAGTCAGTGGTAGGACACATTGTGACATGGTTGGAGTAATGACACCAGGAAGTGTACTAACAATATACATTTGGTAAAATGAGCTATGATGACAGCCACTAGAGGCGAAATGATGCATCTTGAGGAAAGTGCTTTGACATATAATTAGAACCACATGATTATTATTTGTTCCTAAACTTTGGCAGTAAGTGTAAGTCGTATTAAAATGATAATTTCCATGCATTTTTTAAGTTTGATACTAGCAATTGATGAAGAAGAGAATATGGCAGGTATATTATAGCGTGTTGAAGACCTCATACGTTGAATACAAGAAGATAGAATAGAAAATAGTCAATACAAATACCTATTGTATTGCCAAAGGTTGAAATGCAGCTTATTTTTCTCAATCTTAAAGAGGATCCAAGCCTTGGAAAATAAATGATTATTCTTGTGTGTCATACAATTGCACTGGCCCATTTCACACAGCCCATTTCCACACATAGGGCAGCTGATATTCTAACACATAATCACATACAAAATAGCAGAGAGAGATCGAACATTAATACTTTCCATAGTTATTTGAATAGCCTGGTAATGCAAACATGTACATTTCCTTTAATGAATTCCCTTAAAAGATTCTCAGAGGTCTAATAATATTTTAAATGTATAATATACCCATTTCCTGACAACGTTTATCGTCGGAACCTTAGTTCGTGCATGTCGTTGACGAACATCATATAAAACGGACCGGTTTCCTTTACCCACAATCCTCTGCTTCAAGTCCGTCCTTCCGACTTCCGCCTCATCTACGAGCTGCGGTGAGTAATTTTAACGCAGATTATAATTCTACAATCTATGACCATCCTGCTATATTAAAGACATGATCGGCCGTGAATGTCTTCTCAATATGTATATTAATGTTTGGCTGTGCGTTTTATGTGGTTTTGGATGTAGTATAATGCATTTAAATAGCTTTTATTAACGTCCATCGGTACGGCATTGATTCCGCCAGAGTGGCTTCATTTTCCCGGATCAAAGTGTCCATTTTCTTTGAGTCAGAAAACGTGTTAATGTCATATTTTAGTGTGATTTAAATCCCTGGTAATAGTTTATGATTCTATATTTACTTACGTGCTTTGTATCTTACCATTATTGACTTGCGGTTGGTAACAACACTGGAGCAAGCTAACCTTATGCTAACGCTAAGTTATCTTGTAACTTCAGCTGCCACGTTCAAGTCTGCAAAAGGAAAACTAATTGGACTTGTTATTTAAATGTTTGTGGATTTAACCTCTGTTTTTGTATAGCAACCATATGCATAAGCAGTAATGAAGTTATGACATATGTAGCTACTGTGCATCTGATAGTAAAGCCTATGAATCTAGTGAATGTATTTTAAATACTATATGCATGCCTTTTTTATCTAGTAGTGTGTGTTCTATTTTTCGTCTATCTATACTGCTTTAACAATGTCAATGTCCCTTATGTTGGACGGGTAAAGTAACTCTGATTCTGAAAGCCTTTTGAGTGTTTGAATCTAACTTTTGTATATTGCTTTCTAGATGGCCCCAACTAAGAAAGGAGAGAAAAAGAAGGGGCGTTCAGCCATCAACGAGGTGGTGACCAGAGAGTACACCATCAATGTCCACAAGCGCATCCATGGAGTGTGAGTACTGAACATTTCTTTATCTTCTTTCATTAAGCCATATGGTCTGTTTGTGCAACAGCTTGGATGCTATGTCTAAAAGTACTGAGAGATGCATACAAGTTGTCAAATGTACATGTGTGTGTATAGTAAAACCACAAATCCAATAACAGTCAATAGTTTGAGTTCATTTATTAAATGATGTCTTCTCCTTGCAGGGGCTTCAAGAGGAGGGCTCCCCGCGCCATCAAGGAGATCCGCAAGTTCGCCATGAAGGAGATGGGAACTCCCGATGTCCGCATTGACACTCGCCTCAACAAGGCAGTGTGGAGCAAGGGTGTCAGGTGAGATTACACGCTCATGCTTGAGCTAAATGCACTGCTTGTCCATGTTTCAGTTAAGAACACGGCTTTCTCTGAATGGCGTTATACTCTTTGAAATCTGAGACATGACCAGACAGGTTTGTAATGGCCACAAGTATATACTCTCAATGTTCTGCTTGTGCTACTGTGTGCTGTAGAGAGATGGCCATTTTGAGATATGTCCAAGCATAGCAAATGTTTTTTCTTTTCTTACGGTCATCACTCAAACTGGAAAAATATCAAAGTAGTTACTGCTGCCAGCTTGATTTTAGTGCGACATATTTTTACAACATGATACTTTCAGCTCCCATGAAGTGTCCTCTGTCGGCACATGACTCAGAAGGAACTGATACAACCAAACCATTTGGGCAGCCACAAGAAAGTTCAATTTAAAGCAGTTCTCCAAGCACAATATACCAGTCTGAAATTGATGTGGACTTTGTTTCACATCTTGTTTATGAGACGGTTGCACGAATGCCGTCTAAATTGGAGACCTGCACATCTGCTGGCAATGTACGTGTACTGTTTTGATCAAAGATAGTAGCCATCCTCATGTGGTTTGTTGTGCAGGAACGTGCCGTACAGGATGCGCGTACGACTTTCCAGGAAGCGTAATGAGGATGAGGATTCTCCCAACAAACTCTACACCCTGGTTACATACGTTCCCGTCACAACAACAAAAGGTACGTCTTTCACCAACTGACTTGTTCCTATACTCGAGATACAAAGACATTTTATTAATCTTTCCCTCTTTTTCCCCAACAGGTCTGCAGACAGTCAATGTTGATGAAAACTAAACTCTGCGAGTCGAATAAATAAAATCAAAGAACCTCTTGTGTTGTGAATTTCATTTCTATTTTTGCACTAAATTGAATTATATTTGGGGAATTATTGGATTAAGCTTTATACAAATTGTGTATAGAGATGCTGTCTTAAACCCTTACTAATTGACTATTTCATTCGTGCTTTTCAGTGTGAAAATATATCATTCAGGCCTTGTCCCTTTCTAGAATATAGGAGTAATTAAAATTATAGAGGGATAACTTAAGAATTGATAGTATTGTTGACGGCATAGTGGGGCTTTCTTTACACATTTTGATGGTGTTAAACTGACCATCAAACCATGATGTATTCACTATCCTGATCCACTCTGCATGAAGAAGCTTTATTGGTTGACTTTAGATGCCATCTACCTTATTCAAAGTAATTTCATAACCAATTACACATAAAAGCCATATATACAGTATGATAGAAATGTAATAAACTGCTGAAGGGGGTGTTGCATGTCAGCAGTAAACATGCATGCTGCTTCTAGTGTATTTTATTTTGTAGGCAATGTATTTGTTAGTATGCCCATATCAAATGTCTTCAGTATCCTATCCCCCTGTAGCAGATGTATTGATAGACTTTAGATGGCTTAATTATACACTGGATATGTATTTAAATGCCGGGGAAAGAAATGAAGATTGTAGTGAACATGCACTGCCGCCATGTTGCCACCAGTGGGCGCTGCTTGCTAGTTAGCACTCGGATGTTGTGAAGAACAGACGCAGAAAGCTACAGCTATGGCTCCATCAACACATCCTGCAGAGTTTGTGCAGCCGTGAAGTTGTAACTCAATAAGAAGGTGAGACACAAAGCTGCTCTGTGTGTTATTTTAACATGTAACTAACCTCAGTGGGAAATAGCGGGGTAAATCAAGTTGTCTGGGAGGGACAGGTGTGGCTAACTGGTTGGCTAACTAACTGATAATGTATGTATAGCTAACCATACAATACTATACAATTTGAATAGCTAATAACAATGACTTCTTATGATTTGTCACTGTTATTCTAGCTTATATGGTTCGTTTACATCAAAATGTTAGTATTAAACAGTCTTGCGAATATGTATCACAGCTAACAGCTAGCATGTGTAGTACAGTCTTCAGCTAGCTGTCTGTCATCCATTGAGATTTGCATTTTATTCTAAAAACAAATGAGTTAAAATTACATTGTGCAATTAGTATTTTTGTAATGCTTTGTTGAAATCTGTTTGAGAGGTTAAGCAAGGAACATTGCATCTGTTAGAATCAGAAACAAGTAGGTATACACATACGAGGAATTTTCCTTGGTGTCCATATTAAACACAGTTAAAGAAGATACATTGCAAGAAAAGGAAACTATTATAGCATTAAAATATAGCTATTTTTACATACATGTTACATATTTTTGTATAGATGAAATATAGATATACCTGTAAAAGTAAAATATGTGCAGTATTGATATGACAAGTGGTAAGCCATGCAGCTATAAGAGGACGATTTGTGTACAATGTGCACAATTCTCAGGGTTGTGCAGGACTGCCAGAACATATAATAATTGTGCAATGCGAATGTCCTGAACTGAATCTTTCTTATACTTAAGCATGCCATCATTCAGATTAAATAAAAACATTCTTGGACTAAGATGTGCTGTCTGTGTGCAGGGAGCCCAGCGCTGTGTTTCCATGGCCGGCGGCTGATGGGGGGAGCGATGCGGCACCACTGGCTGCTCCTCGGGGCCTGCGGCTGGGTGCTGCTCATCCTCATGTTTGTCAGCAAGTTCATCACCTTCAGAGCTGTGGATGGTAAGCTGCTGGGTCTAACGCTGACTTATTAGTGTTAGCTAAATGTGATCAGCCCACTCTATTGTGTGTTGTCAGACTATGGAGAGAGGGTTGGTGGTCAGAGCTGGACCGTGCCAGGCACCAAGATGATACGACCAGTTCCTGTTTCCAGTCTACAGAAAACAGCTCCAAAGCCATCTGATCAGGTGACTATTAACTGTACTCCATCACTGACCCCATTAAAACAACGCCATTCACTTCTCTGCAACACCAACATATTAAAAGGCAATCCGTGACATTACTGTTGTGTCTCAGTCCTCAGCGGTGCCCCCAGTGACAGGTTGGCAGTCGGAGGTTGAGAGGCGGAGCGAGCTGCTCTCCTCTGTGTGTAAGAACAGCAGTCTCAGGAATCTGACTCACGTCTCCATCAGCAAATTCGTCCTGGACCGCATCTTTGTCTGCGACAAGCGCAAGATCCTGTTCTGCCAGACGCCTAAAGTGGGCAACACACAGTGGAAGAAGGTCCTCATTGTGCTCAATGGTAAGTACGGGTTAGTAGAATGTAATAACAATGTCTAGCAGTCTTTCACATGATGACTTATGTTGTGAATATTGATAGGAGCATTCCCCACCGTGGAGGAGATCCCAGAAAACCTTGTCCATGACCATGAGAAGAACGGCCTGCCACGCCTATCATCACTCAAGCCACAGGAAATTACTCACAGGTTTGTTAAGACTTAATGTTAATAATGTAGCAGCCACCAGGGTGGGCCAACGCTTACTTGCTGAGTTCATTCTTATATATGATCCTTTAGAAATGCTTTACAAACTTGCCAAAAAAAAAAAGATTGCTAGTAAAATATTGACCATCACTAGCCTTTTGGCTGGAAGATAAAAATGCTATAAGTCTTGCACCTTGCATCCACAAATAAATGCACACAAAAAGACCAGCAAGTGTATCTTTAAGTGTTTATGATAGTCAACAGTATTGCAGAATTGCCTGCTGGGAAAGTCCAAATAAATAATAATATCATCATTTACAGCTGTTTTCTCATAAACCTGTATTTGCCTCAACAGATTAAGTACTTACTTCAAGTTTTTCATCGTGAGAGACCCCTTTGAGCGGCTGATCTCTGCGTTCAAAGACAAGTTTGTGAAGAACCCACGCTTCGAGCCTTGGTACAAGCATGACATCGCCCCGGCCATCATCCGGAAGTACCGCAAGAGCCACCGCGACAACGAGCTCTCCGCCTCCGGCCTGCACTTTGAGGACTTTGTCCGTTACCTGGGCGACGCAGACGGCCGCCACCGCATGGACCGTCAGTTTGGTGAGCACATTATTCACTGGGTGACTTACGCAGAGTTGTGCGCGCCGTGCGAAATACACTACAACGTGGTGGGCCACCATGAGACACTGGAGCAAGACGCCCCTCACATCCTCAAAGCAGCGGGCATCGACCAGCTGGTGTCTTACCCCGCCATCCCTCCAGGCATCACACGCTACAACAGGACCAAGGTGGAGCGCTACTTCTCAGGCATCAGTCAACGCGACATCAGGCGTCTGTACGCACGTTACCAGGGAGACTTCAGCCTGTTTGGTTACCCGGGTCCAGACTTTCTACTGAACTGAAATGATTAACACTGACTAAAAGACATGTTTGCATATATCCTCCCAACATCTTGAGACAGAGGTGTATTGTAGCGGATGATGTGCCACTGGCAGACCTCAAAGGCTGGTAGGTGGCACACTGTAATGTTTTTATTTTAGGAATGACTGACAGGTTGTGGCTGTATTTGCAATGAGGCAAAAGAAGCAGCAGGATGTATTGTTTTGTGCAGGAGGTAAGAAGTAGATACAAAGAACATACACAGGTACAGAACACATGTTATCTTATATTTAATACTCATGAATGATTTGTCCTCATATGTCAAAGAGAGGTACTCTGTAATGCTGGGGATACAGGCCCCCCGTTACCCTGTAATGTAGCTACTATATACTGCACTGTTTGGATCACCAGTTACAATGGTGTAACTTGCTGTGTCTTTTCTGTACTTCTTGCTGGACATAGGAGACGGTCTATTTCAGGGACGCTAGCATGTTTGGAAAAGGAGAGTAAACTGCAAAAATATAATAGGAAGTTATTGGACATCTTTCATTTCTGTTTTTAGGAGTTACGAATTCCCATTAACTATTTTTGTAACCATTGTTTTTTGCTTTATGCAAGGCCTATTATTGCCTTGTGATTCAGTTGATCAGTCATAGGAAGACCTTGGTCCCGCCCTCATCCATACTGTAGCCATCGTTCTGCCTTTACTGAAACTGACATGCTTCTGACTCCATTTACTCAGCTGTTTACTGCACTGGATTTAAAAGGATCCGTTTTCTATCAGAATTGTACCGTGTAAATGTTCTTAACATGACTTGCAACTCAACATTTGTATTACATGTTGCTATTTATAATATTATTAACCTGACACCAACAGTGTCTAAATTGTAACAGCGCTGTCTCCCTGCATCCACCTGGTGACTTTTTGGACAGGCGGTCATAATACAAGGACAGCACTAGTTAGTAATAAAGGTTGTATTTAAAAAATAATCAGTTCCTTCTTTTTTTTGTGGAGAAAATACATGTGTGTGCTCCCTTATGTCTGTACTGTATGTTGCTTCAGTCGTATAAAACATCCACAAGATGGCAGTAAACTATTATAATTGTTAGTTATTAGTTAGAAAGCAACCAACTCTGTTGAACCCTTGAACCAAATGTCAACACAGGCACGCTGTTGATAGACAACACAATGACTTCAGAGCCATGTGTCAGCAACACACACTTCCAGGCAGTGCGGGCGGAACAGAATTATCATTATCGGTGTCATCTGCACAAGCTTACCTTACCACAGATGGATTTAAGTGGATTTACTCCTCTTAAGCGTTGGTTAAGTGTCTTAAGTGAGTGCCATACGTTAAGGCTTTGTGATTGTGTGTGTATGTGTGTGTATGCAGAGGCGCCGTAAGGGGGTGAAAAGTTAGGACGATTCTAAGGGCCCGTGACTGACAGGCCAAAACTATTTTAGAACATTAAGAGAAAAATGTTTAAGTAACCAAAGTGTATCTTTTCATGGGGCCCAAAATCCCTTGCAGTGTGTGTGTGTGTGTGTGTGTGTGGTGTGTGTGTGTGTGTGTGTGTGTGTGTGTGGTGTGTGTGTGTGTGTGTGTGTGTGTGTGTGTGTGGTGTGTGTGTGTGTGTGTGTGTGTGTGTGTGTGTGTGTGTGTGTGTGCGTGTCTGTCTGTGTGTGTGTCTGTGTGTCTGTGCCTCACTGTCTGTATGTCTGTCTGTGTGTGTGTGTGTGTGTGTCTGTGTGTCTGTGTGTCTGTGTGTGTGTCTGTGTGTCTGTGCCTCACTGTCTGTCTGTATGTCTGTGTGTGTGTGTGTGTGTGTCTGTGTGTCTGTGCCTCACTGTCTGTATGTCTGTCTGTGTGTGTGTGTGTGTGTGTGTGTCTGTGTGTCTGTGTGTGTGTCTGTGTGTCTGTGCCTCACTGTCTGTCTGTATGTCTGTGTGTGTGTGTGTGTGTGTCTGTGTGTCTGTGCCTCACTGTCTGTCTGTATGTCTGTCTGTCTGTCTGTGTGTGTGTGTCTGTGTGTCTGTGTGTCTGTGCCTCACTGTCTGTCTGTATGTCTGTGTGTGTGTGTGTGTGTGTGTGTGTGTGTGTGTGTGTGTGTGTGTGTGTGTGTCTGTGTGTCTGTGCCTGTGTGTCTGTGCCTCACTGTCTGTATGTCTGTCTGTCTGTATGTGTGTGTGTGTGTGTCTGTGTGTGTCTGTCTGTCTGTCTGTCTGTCTGTATGTATGTCTGTGTGTGTGTGTGTGTGTGTGTGTGTGTGTGTGTGTGTGTGTGTGTGTGTCTGGTGTGTCTGTGTGTCTGTGTGTCTGTGTGTCTGTGTGTCTGTGTGTCTGTGCCTGTGTGTCTGTGCCTCACTGTCTGTATGTCTGTCTGTCTGTATGTGTGTGTGTGTGTGTGTGTGTGTGTGTGTGTCTGTATGTGTATGTATGTATGTCTGTCTGTCTGTCTGTCTGTCTGTATGTCTGTCTGTCTGTATGTCTGTATGTCTGTATGTATGTATGTATGTATGTATGTATGTATGTATGTATGTATGTATGTATGTATGTATGTATGTCTGTATGTATGTATGTATGTATGTGTGTGTTACCCCCGTGGCAGGTTACCTCTCATCCCGTCAGACTGGTTTTCCCAGCTCTGTCGTTTGATTGTTTAGTTGAATGTGTTTGTTTAACCAAAAGCTTCACGCTGTCTGTTTGAAAATGTCATTGTGTATATAATGATAAATAAGTGGATTTCTGCAGCTGAACATTATTCCTCTCTGAAGTTACACAACCCTTTCAGCAGAATGTAACCTATCAATGAGGTGACTGCTGTTTTTAAGAGGTAGCACCTTTGGGTGGCCTTTAGGAATTCAACATCCTACACATGAACCCCCCATGATGGGGAGCTGAAGCAGGCAGAGTGCCTTTTTGGCTCAAAGTTCCTATAATTAATGAGGTTATTATCAGAAATCATTAAGCATGCAACACCCCACTAACAAACTGTCAATTAGGAAACATGATGTGATACAATACTAGTAATTGCTCATACAATAAGTCACTATTTTGGAAAAGGTATTGGAGGGAGTCAAAAAGAAACAAATAGCACAAGGCCAATGTGCAAGTATTAGAGTCTAATACTTGCACATTGGCCTGTAACTTCATAATTAACTACGTGTGAAAGCAGAAGTCTAGGGCAAACAATTGCAAGTCTCTTCAGTGCGCATGTCACAAAATGATTTAAAAATAAAAGCCAAATTCTGGAAAAAAAGAAAAGAAAAGTGACAATTTGATAAGAAAGTAACATTTTGGGGAAAAAAGTCAAATTCCGAGAAAAAAAGTCTAATTTGAGATGCATTGTGGGACATGTAGTTTATGAGCAATGTGCTTCTGTAAAGCGGCATGGAACTGTATAATAAACATATTATATTCTTTGCAAGCTCTTGTGAAATGAAGTCGCGGGCCGGATTTGGCCCCCGGGCCTTGAGTTTGACACCCCTGAACCTGTCATGGAAAGATTCATCATCATACATTTGGCTTGAGTAATGATGAAATATAATGTTATTGGTTCTCATTGCTGCTTGAGCAACCACTGCACTATAATACTCAGCATCACTCATGAGATTGTTCACTTGCCACACCCATGATTACCAATATTGACAGTGGGAAACGCGCATGTCCATAAGGATGCTGTGCAGTGGGGGGTCCGCCTCTGTCTGCATCCATGTTTCTCACAAGCACTGTCGCGAATATCAATTGTTTGTGTCCTAGCATGCAGGTATAACCGTGCTAAGGTGACTGTGTGAGGATATATCTCGGTATCCATGCTTTAATATATCGAGGCCCAGCCCTTTTCTGTCTGTGTGGAGCCGACCGGCTTCCTGTGTTGGTGCGGTTCTCCATCAAAGCTGCGTCAAGTCACACAGAAGCACAAGTACAAGCGGAAATGAAGTGATGTTCCTTTCAAAGAAGAACAATTTGACATTCAGGCAATCAAAATAAGAAATTCTATAGAACAAAACGGGGTAAATGTTTGATATAATAAAAGCTATGTTTACATATTAATGCAGCCTTAACTGTCATCCAATAATACAAACTACCTACACTGGTCATTGTCTTTACTCATACAAAAAACATGGCCCTGCATATTTATTCTCATGTTTACACAAATAACTATTTAAAACAAGTACAAAAGACAATAACAGAATAGAAGAAAATACAATAAATATTTATGACATATCTGAAAATTAATGAACAAAAGTTCAAGGGGAATAAACTGCAATAAAATAATACAGTAAATCTGAATATAAGATGTTGTGTCATTTAAATGTATGTGTACTTCAGTGTCTTTAATCATAAACAGAGAACATGTAATGAACATGATGTTCCAGTGAAACTTTTATTTTGAAAGCCCCTAAGCGGAAGTGTGTGTTTTCCGCCTGGCTTGTCTCCAGGGCTCCGGCAGGGAGAGAGCGCACAGGGAGCCGCTGCTGCCACCTCAACATGGAGTAGCGATACCCAGCTTTTAGTGCTAAAAAGCGGATCCCACAGAGAGGAATACACCCCGGCTTCTGTCTAATACATCCTGCAGAAGTCCCCGCAAATGATACAGCGGCCACTATTTCTTTTAAACGCACAGGGAAGCTCGGCTTTTATTTGAAAGATGGCGAACGACTCTCCGGCTAAAAGTCTAGTAGACATAGACTTGGCTTCATTGCGGGTGAGTGCTGCAAAACCGAGCCTATGTTTTTTTGGTTGTTTCGCTGCCTTTTATTTCACTGGGCTCGATAAAACACACCTCCCCAAGTCTGCCTAATATTACCAAGTGTTAGCATGTGCTGAAATGTGCTTTGTGTTGGAGCTGGAGCATTAAAAATGACCGCTGAGCCAAAGCGAGGTGTTGCCAGTGTCTGGTTTTCCTTTGTTCGAGATGCATTTGGCATGTAGGGGAGACCAGTGCGCAACAGCTGGCTCACACTGGACCATGTTGTGCATAAATGACAAAAATATCAACATTGCTATTTATTTACATTGAATCGTCTTTGTGTCTTTTCTTTTCAGGATCCAGCTGGGATATTTGAATTGGTGGAGGTGGTTGGAAATGGCACCTATGGACAAGTATACAAGGTTGGTGAGGCGCAGTGCATGGCCTGTCCTGTTTTCACTGTCAATGCTTAGAATACATGTTTTGTATTCTTCTTATGAAGCCTGGGAACAACAGGAAATTCATTTGAAAAAATCACATTTTCAGATGTTGCAATCAGACCACATCATGGAGCTGAACAATACTGGAGGAGGCTGTTAGATTTTCCAGTTAAGATTGTGTGTTTTGCTATCTGTCTGATCGTAGGTAATTGTTCAGCAGAGAGATGTGTGTAAAGAGTGAATCAGACAGTCTAATGCATCACACATCTTACATCACCTGTCTTACTGAAAACTAGGTGAGGAGGCAAGGATGGAGAAACAGTGTCTGTCATAACACTAATCCTGTTGGCCTCACATCTCTGTCTGAAGCTTATTCATTTGTTGTCTTTTTTTACACAAAACCAAATTTCATATCCTGTTTAAATCAGGACTTTTCCCCTTCACTGGATGGGAATCCCACTCTCCGGGCCATCTGCTCTTGGTGTCACATTTCTCTGTTGGAAATTAACATTGCGGCTGTTGAAAGACATTGCCAAGGAGGGAGAAAGAGACAGCAGAGTAGAAGTGAAGGATGTGGTGTATGATGGAGGGATGGCCTTGGATTGGAGACTCATCCGGCGTCCTAGTGTTGCATCGGGCCTCCTTGTGTTGTTATTGCTGCAGCTAGCAAGCCAGGAGGCTCCATTTTGTTCCCCACTGTTGGATGACATTTAACCACATGCCTATATGCAAAGCAGACATCTAGTTTGCCTAGTCTGTTAATAGGCTAGCCCGGGGAAAAAACATCAATTTGCTTGTGCACTAAGTAGCAAGCTTAGCCGAGTATTTAATTCTGACAGCCCTCAGTGCTCCAGTG